AGGAATGCGAGGAAGCCCCGCCATGGCCCTCCCTGGCCCCAGGCAGGCAGGGGTGGGGAGAGGCAGGGAGGAAGCAACTTACCCTCGCTCTTCTCCTGCCTCCTCCTGGCTGAATGAGGGCTGGAAGCGGGGCGGCCGGAAGCAGGGGGCGGGGCTTCATCATGTGCCTCGCCCCCCTGCACCTCACCCGGGGGGACTGCGTTCCCCCGCGATCCCCCCGAAATGACCTCTGCTCGCGTCTATTTTTATTTTGGTACATGACCAGTAGTTGCAAGCGCAAGGGTGGACCTGAGGAAGAGGATTTCGGAGCTGTCTCTTGTCCTTTTGGGGCAACTTTGGGGCTTGCAGCAACCTTTCTCTGGGTTGTAGAAAAAGCCCAGCAGGAACTCATTAGCATATTAGGCCACACCCAACAGCAGAAACACATTAGCCTATTAGACCACACCCCTGACAGCACAGCTCATTGCCATATTAGGCCACAAACCCACATGTTAACAGAAGTGTGGTCATCCAACCACACCCACCTTTTGCTTCTTATTCTGTTTACTTTGTTGTCAAAACCCAGGGCCTTTTTTTGTAGCAGGAACTTCTTTGCATGTTAGGCCACACACCCCTAATGTAGCCAATCCTAATGAGTGTCTGCTGTTGGGTGTGGCCTGTTATGCTAATGAGTTCCTGCTGGGCGTGGCCAACTCAGGAGCCAGGCGGAACTCCGTTCCTGTGCGTTCCTGCCCAAAGATAGCCCTGTCTCTATGGAAACACAGTGCGGAGAGAGTCCCCCGTGAATGAAGGAATACCCACTATCCCAGTGAGAGGGATTTACCGGTCCATTCCACCCTCCACCACCACCACCCCACTCCTGACGCTGGGCCCAGGGCTGCCAGCTCTGGGTTGGGAAATTCCTGGAGATTTTGGTTGGGGAATCCTTGGAGATTTTAGGGGTGGAGCCTGGAGAGGGTGGGGTTTGGGAAAGGACCTCGGCAGGGTATGATGCCACAGAGTCCACCTCCCAAAGTGGCCATTTCCCCCAGGTGAACGGGTCTCTGTTGTCTGGAGATGCTGTCATTCCAGGAGATTTCTGGTCAGCAGCTGGAGGTTGGCAACCCTAGCTGGGCTTCTGCTTAGTACAGGGAAGGGGTCATTTCGTAGAAAAAAGAGGTGCAGGAGCTCATTAGCATAATTCATTTGCATAACTCATTTGCATATGCCACACCCCCTGACATCACTGGAAGTGTGTCAGGAGGCAACACCCACCACTCAGGCTCCACTGGCCTGTTTTGGATTGCTAGCTATTGGGGGGGGGACATGCAGATCTGTCCTCACAGAGGAGGGAGAGCTTGTACCTGAATAAAACTTGGTCTTAAAAGTGCCACTGGACTGTTTTGGACCGGGGGGGCCGGGGGGAGCTCTGCAAGTTACCTGGCTGCTTCTTGCTCTGACTGAGGGCTGCTGGGAGCAGGAGGTGGGGCTTGTTGCATGTGCCCGCCCCCTGGGCTCCTTATTGCCAGAGCTCCGCTCCTGTGCGCTCCTGCAGGAAATGACCCCTGGTACAGGGGCAGAGATGGGCAATGCTCCCTCTAAGCTGTGGAGGTCTCGTGAGCAAAAATTCTTCTTTGTGAGCGACTGGCATTAAAGTTGTGAGCGAGCATTTTAACTACTGCACAAATCAGTTTGCTCCGGAGCCCCATCCTTCACAAAAATGTGTGAAAAACTGTGAGCTAGCTCACTCACTCGGCTTAGAGGGGACACTGGATGTGGGTGGGACTGGCTGTTTCAAGGCTCCTTTGCTGGTGGGAAATGGTCCCGTAGTCTTCAGAGAACATTCCCTGTCCGGCTGGCTCAAAGACCTTTGCGGCTGGAAGCCTCCCTGCATCAACTCACTTTCCAGTTTGTCCTCTCTTCTACGGAGGTGTTTATTCTGAGGCAGGCCTTCCTCAGTCCCTTCCTGCCATATAGTTTGAGTCTCAGAGACCTTCAGGATGTTCTCTGGTTTTGTAAAAAACAAACAAACAAAAAAGGCAGGATGGGAACTTTTAGCTGCGCTGCCTGCAAATCAGTAAAAACCCGGCTTTTGTAATGAGACGGGGTGGGGGAAATTCAACTTTTCCCAGCTGGGTATCGGAATATTTTAAGCCTGCTTTCTGACACTGGAGATTCTGGAGTTAACTGATTCCAGACGGCTTTTCCTCACTAGATGAGAACTCTCAGGCACTCTGTGCCAAATAATTCTGGTAGGAAACAGGTGGGGGGCAGAAAACTGCACACTGGGTGACGTTTCAGCATCCTATTCTCTAGGCAACAGGGATGACAAGTTCAAGCTTAATTTATTACATCAAAAAAAAGAGAGAGAGACAGACAAATGTGAAAAATACAAGCTCAAAAAACTGAGGGGGGGGGAGAGAGAATCCTTCTCCCTCCCCCCCGTGAGGTTCAAGCCGAAAGAGAACATTCCCAACAATATAAGGCAACAACAACGAAGGGACCCCTTCCAGCAGGGAGCGTGGGGGGCGGCATTGTTGGCGGTGAACAGAGCTCCCACTAAGTCCGGCCGCAGCAAGGGGGTGCGGCAGGGAGTGGCGGGTGTGGGGCAGCACTCCAATCCCGGCAGGGTTTGCCAGAGAAGGCTCGCTGGGTACACTGATGGAGGTGGGTCACTCCCAGGTATTCCACTCCCAGTCGGAAATACTAGCTGTCGGGAGCTCCCACTTACTTCAGCCCCAGCGAAGGGCACCCTTGCAGTCCACGGCTGGCTGCTTCGACACCCTCCCCGGCCCCGAGGGCTCAGTTCCGAGGGCCGTTGAGGTCTTCAGTCCCGCACATTGGCTCAAGCTGCTCTTTGGTCTCTTTGCTGAGACTGCTTTCGGGTTCTCCCCCGCCCATCTGGGGGTATACGACGACACAGAGCTTCTGCCCCGCCCGGGTTATTGCATCTGTAGGAAGACAAAGAGTGACGCAGGTGAGCTTCAGCGGGGAAAGGGAACCCGCTGTGCTCACTGGGTGGGCTTTCCCCCCATCGGCCCTCGACTCACCGACAAACGTGTTGATGGCGGGTGGCTTGTGCTCCCAGTGTACCCCCAGGAAGTAGACCGGCACTCCCGTCAGCATGATGGCCAGGCCGATGCCGCACACCACAGGTTCTGACCACAGGCTGAACACCAACAAGAAGGCCCAGAACAGCAGGTAAATGATGGGCCAGAACAGGCTCACCTGGGGAGGAGAGAGATGGGTTGGATTTCGACAGGAATACCAGAAATGGAGATGCGGGGGTGGGGGGGGGTGATGGCAGAAGGAAGGTTCCCTTGCCTAGCAAGGAGGGAGCTAGGTATCTGCTAGAAGTGGTGAATATTTGGGGGGTGGGGTGGGAATAATGCAAGGAACCAGAGTCATGCAGAGTAGAAACAGGGGACTTTAAAAGTTGGTTTTCCCTGCCATTTTTTTTTTTAGAGTTCAGTTACTTCTAGCATCTTTTAGAATTACCCCGTTTTAAGAAGATATCTAAATGTAACCCTCTAGATTGTTAAATTTTGCACTACATTTCTTAAAAATGAATCTACAACACTTTTATCAAATACAGCAAGATAAATCCTGTTTTTCTATGTAAAAACAAACCCAGGGCAAAAAAAAGTGCATTTTGTTGCTGTGGGGATTCTATTTGGGTGGAAAGGTGTTCTAGAAATTTTTTAAACAAAAGTTCTCCACATACTTCCATGAGAGCGAGTGCTGTTCATCATGGCCAAACTTACTTCTGAGTATACATGCATAAGAGTTATCTGAATGCAACTTCTGAGGTCAAGCATTTTAAAATACACAGTATTGTATTTACTGTTGCACAAATTATGTTTATCAACCAAAACAGGACTCTGTTTTGCGGAATTAACTACCAGTTTTTCCTTCTGAAAAGTTTTGGGCACTTAATCTTCAGCACTTGGGCACTTAATCTTATACAGGTATGGTCAGAGTGAAACAGATCCTAATTTCACAGTTGTTCCCCAAAGCAGATTGAAATAATCCAGCGCAAAATGCTGCATAACAAAAGTTTTGGATTGTGCTCCCGAGTAGTATAAAAGTTCCATTTAGTTGCAAACAGATATGTTTTAATTGTTATAGCAACCGATTATGCTTGTTCAGAGAATATCGATTAGACGGTTGAAAACTTGAGTGAAATCAAGCCACTGTTCAGGAAAGGTGATTCTAAAGGAAGAGCTGTGACCTGCTGTGTAATCTGTGTTAGGGTCAGGGGTCATTTCGTAGAAAAAGAGCTAGGGGGACTCATTAGCATAACTCATTAGCATATGCCACACCCCCTGACATCACCGGAAGTGTGTCATAAGGCCACACCCGCTGACATCACCGGAAGTGTGTCATAAGGCCACACACCCTGGCCGCCGCCGCCGGCCTTGCAGCTCCACTGCCGAGCCCCACGAGGGGCCCGGCGGTGGACCTGCAAGGCCGGCGGGAGTACAAGGAAGCCCCGCGAAGGCCCTCCCTGGCCCCAGGCAGGCAGGGGTGGGGAGAGGCAGGGAGGAAGCAACTTACCCTCCCTCTTCTCCTGCCTCCTCCTGGCTGAATGAGGGCCGGAAGCGGGGGGCGGGGCTTCATCATGTGCCCCGCCCCCGTACCTCACCCGGGGGAACTGCGATCCCCCGCGATCCCCCCCGAAAAGACCTCTGGTTAGGGTAAATGGGACCTCTCACCTTGATGGGGCGGGGCCGATGAGGTTCCCGCCAGCGTAGCACAACTTGTCCGGCCACGGTGACTCCATAGAAGAGGTAGTTGATGAATCCCACATAATTGATCAGGGTGTATATGTCACTTGTCACCAGCATCAGCAAGGTGGAAAGGCACTGCCAGAGACAGCCAGAGCAAAAAAGAAATATTGGCATTTGTTGAAAAAACAGAAAGACACCTGAATGGTACCCCTTGCCGCCTCACAGATTGTGCATTGACGGATATCCTCTCCTCATTCCACATGTACCCAACAGTCCTGATCCACACCCCCTTAATCCCTTTGCCTTGAAGACTCACAGTAAAGACCAGGGCAGGTATGGGAGTGCAGCGTCGCACATGGATCATGGCCAGTACACTAGGAAGGTGGCCCTCCCGGGCTCCGGCAAAGAAGAGTCTGGAAATAGTGAAGAGAAGATAATCAGAAATATAAGCTGGTGGGTACAAGAGTGTTTCCTCAAAATGACTAGCAGTAGGACAAGTGTTTAGACTAGCTCTGCATGGCCAGCAGGGCTGGATGGTAATTTGCTTTGTCGAAAGCTTTCACAGCCGGAGTTTATTAGTTGCTGTAGATTTTCCAGGCTGTGTGGCCGTGGTCTTGGCATCGTAGGAACTGATGTTTTGCCAGTAGCTGTGAGTGGCATCCTCAGAGGTATAACACGGAAAGAAGGAGTACTCTCTGTGTCAAGGATTGACACAGAGAGGCCTTGACACAGAGTACTCCATCTTTCCGTGTTGTACCTCTGAGGATGCCAGTCACAGCTACTGGCGAAACGTCAGGCTCTACGATGCCAAGACCCACGGCCACACAACCCGGAAAATTTGCAACAACTAATTTATTTATTTATTTACATTTCATTAATTCAATTTGTACCCCGCCCTCCCTGCAAGCATGCTCAGGACGGCTAACAGAGTTGGTTTGAAAATACCAATAAAGCCACATAAGATCATTTCCAGACAATTCAAGTACAAATAAGTCATAAAAATCATAAGGTGCTGGTAATCCTTCATTAGTTACTTGAGGTGGCGTACTAAGAATGTTTGCAAACAGACAGTCCAGCTCGGTGGTCTTCTTGAATCACACGACGGTATAGGCCAGACGTTAAGGCTGAGGGCCGGGCTCATTGGTGGTAATAGTCAGGGCAGCTCCTTAGCTGAAAGCCTGTGGAAGAGCTCCGTCTTGAACTGTAGAAGATTTCGCAGGGCCCTGATCTCTTCCGGGAGCTCGTTCCACCAGCAAGGAGCCGTCACTGAGAAGGCCCTGGTAGTGGCGAGCCTAGCGTCCTTGGGGCCAGGGAGGGTCAGTTGGTTCTGTGACCCCGACCTCAGTGCTCTCTAAGGGTATATATGGGGGAAGGCGGTCCCTCAGGTATGTCGGACCCTGGCTTAAAAGGTAAGCACCAGCACCTCGAAGCGAATTCGGTATGCTATTGGCAGCCAGTGCAATGCCTTCAGCACAGGCCGGATGTGCTCCCATCTGGGAAGGGCCGTCAGCAGCCTGGCCATGGCATTCTGCACTAGCTGCAGCTTCCGAATTTGCGACAGGGGCAGCCCCATGTAGAGAGTGTTACAGTAGTCTAGTCTCGAGGTGAACATCGCATGGATCACTGTGGCCAGGTTGTTGCAGTCGCGGAAGGGAACCAACTGCCTAATCAGCCGAAGGTGGTAAAAGGCCGACTTAGCAGTGGCTGCTACCTGGGCCTCCATTGTTAAGGAGCACTCCCAAACTCCTAACCTCCAGCGCTGGCACCAGTGGTGCCCCACTGAAGGTCGAGTGGGGTCCCCACCCCCAAACTGCCCCAACCCACTCACAGGACCTCCGTCTTTGCCGGATTCAACTTCAGCCGGCTCAGCCTGAGCCAACCAGCTACGGCTAGTAACGTCCGGTCCAGATCTTCCAAGAAAAGTGCCAATGTGCCAAGAAAAGTCTCAGTGGGAGAGAGATTCCCAGTGCTTCCCCAAGACTTCCTCAAGGGGTTGTGGCCAGTGTTCCCTCTAAGCTGAGTTGGTGTGAGCTAGCTCACGGTCTTTTAGCCTCCAGCCCACACATTTTTGTCTTAGCTCAGGGAGGATGGCTCCAGAGCAGACTAATTTATGCAGTAGCCAAACGGCTCACTCGCCATTTTCATGCCAGAATTTCAGCTCACAAGACTCCACAGCTTAGAGGGAGCATTGGCTGTGGAAAAGAACGGACAGGATGGCAACCAGGGGTCATTTCCTGCAGGAGCGCACAGGAGCAGAGCTCCGGCAGTAAAGAGCCCAGGGGGCGGGCACATGCAACAAGCCCCACCCCCTGCTCCCAGTGCCCTCAGTCAGAGCAAGTAGCAGCCAGGTAAGTTGCAGAGCCCCCCCAGCCCCCTGGTCCAAAACAGTCCAGTGGCACTTTTAAGACCAGGTTTTATTCAGGTACAAGCTCTCCCTCCTCTGCGAGGACAGATCTGCACATCCCCTCCCCCCAATAGCTAGCAATCCAAAACAGTCCAGTGGAGCCTGAGCGGTGGGTGCTGCCTTCTGACACACTTCCGGCGATGTCAGGGGGTGTGGCATATGCAAATAAGTCATGCTAATGAGTTATGCTAATGAGCTCCTGCACCTCTTTTTCTACGAAATGACCCCTGGTGGCAACAGTACAAAGATGGGGGGGGGATGCCCTTTCCCAAGTCAGATGGACTGCCCTCCTGGAACTTGATAGGTGTGGATTTCAGAAGGCACAACTTGTCAACAAGAATGATAAGTTCCCGTCTCGGGGCTGGAGATCATGTTTACTTACCTAGAAGAAGTGAAGAGTGAGCCATTAACTCCCCCGAAGGTGGAAAGGGCAACAGAGATAGGCATGATCCAGGCCATGACTCCCAACAGCTTCTCCCCGAAGGTCTGTGGGGGAAGGAAACCAGAAGAGGCAGCATGGGGTTAGCTGCCTTTCAACCGGAACCCAGGAGGAGGATCGGGTGGGGGGGGGATCTGGGATAAATGGGGCCTCACCACTGCGACAGCATTGGAGGCCAGCAATTCCTGGGGTGACATGGCAGTGACATAGGCCACATTGGCGAAGACATACACAAAGGTGACCAGGGGAATGGAGATGAAGATGGCCCGAGGCAGGTTCCTGTGAGGGAGAGAAAGATGAGGTGGAAGAAGGGCAAAAATTTAAGTATCGATCTGGGTCCGTTCTCTTTCCTGCCGCCATTCAAGGGTCCCCCTGGGCCCCCGACTCACTTGTAAGGGTCAACCAGTTCCTCGGTGACATAGTTAAGGAAATTCCAGCCTCCGTAGGCAAAGGAGCCCTGTAAGAAAGCCAGTGCCACCAAGCCCACATCTGGCGTCTGGAAGAACTCAAAGGCATTCCGTGGTTCCAGCCAGAAATATTCACCTGCAGGGAGAAGTTTCATTAGAAAAACAAAAGAGAGAGAGAGAGGCTGTTCTTTATCAGATTACCCTGGGTCGCCTGATTTCTCCCACCCTCCAGTGTCGTTTGGGGGTGGAAACTATGGCAACCAATCCACTCTTGAAATCCGCTTACTAAGGAATGTTGTCCCTATCTCTGGGTAAAAGGCCGTTGCTTGTTCCCTTAAGGTGGGCAGGGTATAGCATGCGGGGGGGGGGGGGCGCACTGCCCCCATCCTTTCTGGCAGGCCCCTCACCTTTGCAGATCTGCACAATTCCCATAACAATGATAAGTCCCAACGCCAGCAATTTCCCTGCTGTGAAGACATCCTGGACGCGTGTGGCCCACCGTACACTGGCACAGTTCACCCAAGTCAGCAGCACTGTGGAGAAGCAAAAAAAGTCACTGGGCAAAGAGACCATAAATATCTGCCTTCGCAAGGCCCAATTCTCCCATTCAAGGCCACTTAACACCCCTGCAGGACACAATATATTCCAGGAGTTTGGGGGAAGTCAGATATTGTATAGGCGCCTTCTCCAATTCAGAACAAGGACTGGTTTTGGAGTCAGGGCAGCTGCCTAGCCGTTTTGTAGATTTCTCATCATTTCACTGTCCTTGACCATGCACCATGTTTGTCTTCCAGTAATACAGGGATACAATTACGTTCTGCTCAGTTATTTCAGGAGAAGAGATTACAAGTTTTAAGAGGACAGACATCGCAGGGTCTCATTCCTCCCACTGTTCCCCCCCTTTACTATTTGAGTGGGGCCAGGGTAACTAACCCACTCCTCAGGACTTTGTTGTTGTTGATCAGTCGCACAGTCGAGTCCAACTCTTCGCGACCCCATGGACCAGATCACACCAGGCCTTCCGGTCTTCCACCGTCCTCTGAAGTTTGCTCAACTTCATGTTCGTTGCATCTATGACACTGTCTAACCATCTCATCCTTTGCCATCCCCGTCTTCTTTGACCTTCAGTCTTTCCCAGCGTCAGGGTCTTCTTCAGTGAGTGCTCCCTTCTCATTGGGTGGCCAAAGTATTAGGGCTTTAGTTTCATTATCTGGCCTTCCAGGGAACAGTCAGGGTTGATTTCTTTTAGGATTGACTGATTTTATCTTCTTGCAGTCCAAGGGACTCTCAAGAGTCTTCTCCAGCACCATAGTTCAAAAGAATCTATTCTTCGGCGCTCAGCCTTCCTTATAGTCCAACTCTCGCAGCCATACATGACTACTGGGAATACCATTGCTTTGACCATGCGGACTTTTGTTGGCAGGGTGATGTCTCTACTTTTTATCATGCTGTTTAGGTTTGCCATCGCTTTCCTCCCAAGGAGCAGGCGTCTTTTAATTTCATGGCTGCTGTCACAGTCTGCGGTGATCTAGGATCCCAGGAACGTGAAGTCTGTCACTACTTCCACGACTTCCCCACGACTTCTTTCTTTGGGATGGTGGTGATTGCTGCCTCCTGTACAATGTCACGAACCTCCGTCCATAGTTCTTCAGGCACTCTATCTATCAAATCCAGACCCTTGAATCTATTCTTCACCTCTACTGTATATTCATCAGGGATGCGATCTAGGTCAAACCTGAATGGCCTCGTGGTTTTCCCAATTTTCTTCAGTTTAAGTCTGAATTTTGCAATGAGTAGCTCATGATCTGAACCACAGTCAGCTCCAGGTCTTGTTTTTACTGACTGGATAGAGCTTCTCCATCTTTGACTGCAAATTATATAGTCAATCTGATTTCGGTGTTGCCCATCTGGTGATGTCCATGTGTAGAGTCGCCTCTTAGGTTGTTGGAAAAGGGTGTTCGCTATGACCAGTGTGTTCTCTTGACAAAACTCTGTTAACCTTTGCCCTGCTTCATTTTGTTTTCCAAGGCCAAACTTGTCTGTTATTCCGGTTACCTTTTGACTTCCTACTTTAGCATTCCAGTCCCCTATGATGATGAGGACATCATTTTTTGGTGTTAGTTCTATGAGGTGTTGTAGGTCTTCATAGAACCGGTCCACTTCAGCCTCTTCTGCATCAGTGGTTGGGGCATAGACTTGGATTACTGTGATGTTGAATGGTTTGCCTTGGAATCGGACCGAAATCATTCTGTCATTTTTGAGATTGTATCCCAGTACTGACTTTTGCACTCTCTTGTTGACTATAAAGGCCACACCATTTTTTCTACGAGATTCCTGGCCACAGTAGTAGATATAATTGTCTTCTGAGTTAAATTCGCCCATTCCTCTCCACTTTAGTTCACTGATTCCTAAGATATTGATGTTCATTCTTGCCATCTCATTTTTGACCACGTCAAGCTTACCTTTATTCGTAGATCTTACATTCCAGGTTCCTATGCAGTACTGTTCTTTGCAGCATCGGACTTTCCTTTCACCATCAGACACATCCACAACTGAGCGTCCTTTTGGCTTTGGCCCAGCCGCTTCCCTCTTTCTGGGGTTACTTGTACTTGCCCTCTGCTCTTCCTTAGTAGCATATTGGACACCTTCCGACCTGAGGGGCTCATCTTCCGGCGTCATATCTTTTAGCCTTTGATACTGTCCACGGGGTTTTCTTGGCAAAAATACTGGAGTGGGTTGCCATTTCCTTCTCCAAGGGATCACACTTGGTCTGGACTTTAACCCAGGACTTTAGCCCTGGGTTAATTCTGTGCACGGCAGTATATGGAAAATAAAGAAACAAGGATCTTATGACTGTTCCTGTAGATTTGAGGGAATGAAAAACAAGCAGTGGTGGGAGGGGAGGGGAGGGGAGGCTCTGACCTATTTGGCTCTCAGCCTGGCTGCACCAAAACATCCCGTCTGCACAAACAGCCACTGGCCCCTGGTAACCTAACACCACACAAACAGGGCTCACCTGAGATAGATAAAGCACTAGAAATGAAGGGAAGGGCTACTATCTAGCTATTGCAAAGATGAGTTACGGAAGGAAAGGAGGATCTCTTCCCCCCACTCCTCTGTCTGTACAAAGTTTTCACACCTTCACTGTCTTCCAATAATACCTGCAGCATTGTGCACGCAGGTATACAGCGACAACAACATGTGACTAAATGCAGAATGACAAGCTTACACACATACAAATGGTTTTATATACACTATTACAAAAAAAGTATGCATCCATAAATGAAGAAGAAGCAATTGGATTTATACCCCGCCCTTCTCTACCTAAGGGAGTCTCAGAGCGGCTTACAAACTCCTTTCCCTTCCTCTCCCCACAACAGACGCCCTGTGAGGTAGGTGGGGCTGAGAGAGCTCTTGACAGAAACTGCTCTTTTTCAAGGACAGCTCTGACAGAACTGTGGCTTGCCCAAGGTCATCCAGCAGGTGCAAGTGGAGGAGTGGGGCATCAAACCCAGTTCTCCCAGATTAGAGTCCGCGCACTTAACCACCACACTGAACTGGCTCTCCCACTACACCAAACTGACTGCAACCTAACATCTGGAGATCATGTGTACAGGCAAACAGAACAACAACACCAATGTGTAACAGTGCACCACACGTGCTCTCATATTAATCCTGATACCACCAACAAAACTTTTTTTTTTTAAAGCCACTGTAATGTATACATGGGTAAAAATAAAGGTAAATGTTCCCTTGCTAGAAAGCCAGTCGAATCCAACTCTAGGGTTGCGGTGCTCATCTCCGTTTCAAAGCCGAAGATCCAGCGCTGTCCGAAGACGTTTCCGTGGTCATGTGGCCGGCATGACTAAACTCCAAGGCGCACGGAACGCTGTTCCCTTCCCACCGAAGTGGTCCCTATTTATCTACTGGAATTTCTTGCTTTCGAACTGCTAGGTTGGCAGAAGCTGGAACTAGAGACGGGAGCTCACTCCGTCATGCGGCACCCGGGTCTCGAACTGGTGAACTACTGACCTTCCACAGCCTGCAGTTCAGCGTCTTAACCACTTGAGCCACCATAGCTCCATACATGGGTACTGAGCTTAAAAATGCTGGGGGACCAACACACACCCCCTCCCAAACCCAGCAGATGATTCAGAGCGACACACTGTATTTCTCACTTACAATGTCAGCTACCGAACCATCCACTTCACCTGAGTTTGCCAGTGATTTTTAAATATAGAAACATTTCCGGCAATTCTGGCTGTCCTTTAAATTTATAGCCTGCAAACAGCAAACAAGAGGTCTTATGCAATACTCACTTGCCTTTGATAGCCAGCAGCTATCGAAACATGTAAGCAAGCATCCATTCACGATATACACTAACTTGGTTAATTACTTGTATGGAGTGCGGGCCCCATTAGAAGCCCTTAGCAGACCTGGTATGGCCCTCCAGGTTTTATGTGTGACGGAACAGCATGTATGAACAGATATGTGTGGGAAATACAGAGTAATGTTTGCTACACTGTTGAATGACTTTCCTGTTCTTATCTAGATGGTTGAGAGATACCAGTGTATCTCTTTCCACTTCTGTCAAGCCTCCTTTTGTTTACTCTTTTTTCCCCCCAGGGGGAGGTGAGAGTCAAGATCCCCAAAACATGACAGAGCAAGAGGAAATGGGAACTTCTCGGCTGACTCAGCTTCTCTTTTGCACAAACAAGTTCAAGTCAGACAGGCTCAAAACAGGAAACGTGGAGATTAACAGAAAATCGAGCTGCAGGGTGGGTGGGAGAGAGTGGGAGGGTCTTCGTAGAACCGTTTCGCACATGAATTTTTCCACTGCAGATAGGATCCTTACGGCATTATGTGTACTCATAGCGATTTATGAACTAGGGCATGAAGTCCACAATTTCACAGCCAATGTGGGCACCTTTTTTATAATACTTTAATTATCCTGATTGTGAAGGAAACAGGGTAGCTACACATATAACACATACTGAAACGACTCATGGGCCCTCTCTGTTCTGGAATACAACACATAAATGTGTGCTCTGTGGGGTACATATTTCACGTATTCCGTGAAGAACATGTGAGATTAATTTGGATGATATTCCAAGGGGCACTGAGTTTGTGAGATCAATGACGTGTAAGGAGAGGAGTGAGTGAGGAGTGAGGCCGAGTGTACAGAAGTCATCTCTAATATCAGGTTGCCCTCAGAACTGAGGTTGCCTATTTGCGTAGCGTCTCTGATAGAGTATAGGCCTGCCTCTGAGTTCAAGGCCTAGACTTGGCTCTGGGACTCCAAGAATAGTTTAGGGCTAGCTAATGTTACACCTGGGAAGAGTACAGGAATAGCTCTGGGGTGAGGGGGTAAATCTGAACGCTGGACTTCACGAGGTGTTTTGAAGTGAGGCTCTCGGTGGGACCGGAGAGGCAATATTGATTTGGCATTGGAAAGGAAGGCGCCGGGGAAAGAGGGGACAGAAAGTCGGCTTCGCAAAATGTATTACTGCATTTCTTCTCCGGCCCAGCTGAACTCCTGGAAGTTCCCGGTCTCCTTGTTTCTCAGTATCCCTGGCACTCAGCAGGACTGGAGGAGGGCCAGCAGGGCTCAGATTCCCTGGGATCCTTTCAGGCACAGATCTAGGAGATGACGCTGGGGCAAGAGGGTGTGGCTGGCTCAGGGCTCTTGCAAAATCTTGAGCACGCTCTGTTCCCAGGACCCATCCAAGCCAACCACCCCGCTACCATATTTCGAGATCCAGTGCTTGATTCAGAGGGGTCAATGACCAGTAATTACAAATCATCTCCAGATGACAGAGATCAGTTCCCCTGGAGAAAATAGCGGCTTTGGAGAGTAGGATTTACTTCAAGGGTGTCAAACATGCGGCCCGGGGGCCAGATGAGCCCCCCCCCCCAAGAGAGCTTCCATCAGGCCCACAGTGGAACTGGCCCTCTCCTGCTTCCAGTTTTGCTGCTGCTGCTGCATCATAGCTTGCTCCGCCAGACTCTTTAACCTGGGTCCCAGACTCAGAACTCTGAGCACGAGATTTCTGTGGTGAATGTCAATAAATCAAAAGTAGGTTTGCAGCTTACAGAGCTAATGTTTTTATTTTAAGTTAAAAAAAAAATCTCCTCCCTTTCCCCACAGCCTCGATGTTATCAGTGCTATTCTGGAAGAAATCCAGATGAGCCCACCTGTTGAAGCCCTTCCTTAGAGGGGTGTGTGTTGAAGATGCCTCCTTAGAACATTTATGTGTTTGTGCCCTTTAATAAAGTTTATATCTCTGCTACCTGGCATTATATTTTATGACACGCATGGCACGCCCCAACAAGGTGTCATTTATGTCAAATCTGGCCCTCATAACAAATGTTCGACGCCCCTGCTCTATTTAATTATACTCTGCTGAGGTCCCTCCCCTCCCCCAAAACCTGCACTCCCCAGGTTCTACCCTGAAATCTCCAGGAATATCCCAATCCAGAGCTGGCAACCCGATCAGTAATGCCAACACCATGGCATTTTGCTGCTTCCTCCTTACAGCAACCTACACATTTATACGGGCTGTCTCACAGCAACCAAGCCCAGGCGGGTACAGAAAACAACTTTCTGACCACTTCGAGGCTGCTTACCTCAGCACAGAGATAAGAAGCAGAAAACAACACACTAGATAAGCCTTGCTTCACAGAACTCTGGTGACACCACCCCATTTCAGCCTGTAGTCTATGAATAATCCATCTATGATGCCCTCCACCCATGAGCTCTCCTTCAGTCCTAAACTCCTCGGCCTATTTTCCTATCATATCCTTTCTTCTGGTTGCCAGCCTTCAGGTAGGGCCTGGAGATCTCCCGGAAATTACAATGGATCGGCAGACAAGAGAGATGAGTTCCCCCTGGAGAAAATGGCTGCCTTGGATTCTATAGTGTTATATCTCGCTGAGGTTCCTTTCCTCTACCTCCAGATCTCCAGGAATATCACAGCCCACAGCTGGCAATAGGGTTGCCAGGTCTGGGTTGGGAAATACCTGGAAACTTCAGGGGTGGAGCCAGGAGAGGGTGGGGTCTGGAGAGGGGAAGGGCCTCAGCATGGTGCAATGCCATAGAGTCCACCTTTCAAAGCAGCCATTTTCTCCAGGGGAGCTGATCTCTGTCAGCTGGAGACTAGTTGTAAAAGCGGGAGATCCCCAGGTCCCACCTGGAGGCTGGCAACCGTAGCTGGCAACCTTAACTTCCAGTCTCTCAGTACTCTTCAATCAAAACTGAAGGGATTTTAAAAAGACCATACATGGACAAGAATAGGACGCACTTTTTGCTATAGTAGATGGGGGGGGGAATAGAGCTAAACCCTATGCTGCCTACTACCATGTCTGGTATTTCTTTTCTTTTTTTGCATTTTTACCCCGCCCTCCCTGTGAACGGGCTCAAGGTAGAGATGACCGTTTAATTTACGTTCCTATTGGGGAAAATGGCCTCACAGAATGCATCACTCACCTCGGGCAGTAGTTTACGTAATTTCCAAGCAATTTGGTTTCCAATGATCGCATACCTATCTGATGGAGACTTTGTTCCTAATAATCGTCATTACCAGAAACTCTTATTCTTTTGAACTATCTAAAATTGTGTTTGTTTCTCAGTTACTGTATAGATTGTCACTTCTATACTGTTAGACATGAAGTACTGTCCACTCATTCAGTTTACAGTTTGTTTGTGTTAAATGTTATATTTTCAAAAAATTATAAATAAAGTCTTTTAAAAAAAAAATAATAATTTACGTTCCTTATACTAAATATTTGATGGGTAGGGTATATTTAGAAGTTTCCTTATTCCAGCATGTTGGCTAGCTGATGTCATCTCTATTTATATATTGATTCCTTCCTGCATTTTTATGCATGCTTGTGACTTTTGTTTCTCTGTGAATACTGTACTGTAAAACTCACACAGAACTCTTTGATTTTTCTCCCCAGCCTCTCCCTTCTGGTTGCTGATCTGTACCGGCTCCTGGCTCAGCTTTCTTGTTTTCTAGCTCTGGAGAATTCAGGGGATAAGGCCCAACCATAAGTGGTTCCTCATTGTTGAGATTTAGGGTATAGGTTCCTCTCTTTCTCTGTCTCTTTCCTTCCCATGCGCACAAAAATGCACACACGCGCGCACACACACTTCTCTTTCTCTTTTCTGTGGACTCAGCACTGAGTAACTGGTTTTGACCTGATTAATAAACTCTCGCTGAGCTGCAGCAGCTGGCTTGCATAAGCGCCTCCGTTATCCCTCCCCCGGCCATCCCTCATTCTTCCCCCTCCTCTCCTGCCCGTGGGGTTGGAAAGAAAGGAGCAAAACCAGTTCGAGCTTGATCTTGCGAGCACGTGATGTCCTGAAGTAACCTCGGCAAGGATTACTCCTCATCAATATAATCTTCATTTCAATCCGTGGGGCCAGAACTGTGCCCATTCTCCATTTATATGAAGCCTGACACAACCGCATGCATATCAAAAGAAAGAAAGGAAAATGTGCAGGGATAGAGAGAGAGAGGTGGACTAATAGGCAGCCCAAAGATGTCATCTTCTGTTCCTACCCTCTCCGCTTTTACTCTCCTCTGGGAGTGGTGGGGGGCTGTGGGTCAGACCCATGGTGGCTTGAGCCCTGAGATTAGGAGCTCCATTTCAGGTCAAGGGCAGCAAGCTTCACAAAAGGGATGAAAGGCCCACTTCTGAATATTGCATTACCAAAAACGAGGCTACATTGTAAGAGCGTTTGTTACGGTTACTCAGGGGTCATTTCGTAGAAAAAGAGCTAGGGGGACTCATTAGCATAACTCATTAGCATATGCCACACCCCCTGACATCACCGGAAGTGTGTCCTCCCCACAGCCGGCGGCGACCTCCAGCGGGCACCAGCAGGGAGCTCCAGGCCCCGCCCTCCCGCACCTCACCCGGGGGGGGGGATGGCGTCCCCCCGCATCCCCCCCCCCCAAATGACCCCTGCGGGTACTTCTTTTTTTACAGCAATTAGAATAATGTTGTCAAATCACACATATATTCTTTTTAGGCAAAGGGATCGATATTTTTGCAAGCAGGCCAAAGTGCATAAATGGATCCTATTGTTCATAACAATAATTAGTGTGTAGAAACAGTGAGTTGAGGTGCTCCTGAGGAATAATCCTATGGCTCTGAAATTTCAGGGGAAGAGGCAGTCATCTGAGCAAAGCCTTATGAAGACACCACCCTGCAAACGGGTAAGATCGGCAACTACCTGCTCACACGCTTTCTCTGTGCTACCGCTTGCCTTGTGGAATGGGCCTGCCTGAGGAGTTCAGGAAAACCCCATTCTTCTGTCATTTCACAGAATGTGCAAAATGGAAATTTTTCAGGAGGGCATTTTTATAAAGGGATTAGAACTGTTGTGTAATGGAGCAGCTCAGGAGCTCAGCTTTTCTGAACAAACAGAACTGTAGTCTATTGCAATGTTTAGTGTCAAATACTTTGGCCACCAAATGAGAAGGGAGCACTCACTGGAGAAGACCCTGATGCTGGGAAAGATTGAAGGTCAAAGAAGACGGAGACGGCAAAGTATGAGATGGTTAGACAGTGTCATAGATGCAACGAACATGAAGTTGAGCCAACTTCAGAGGACGGCGGAAGACCGGAAGGCCTGGCGTGATCTGGTTCATGGGGTCGCGAAGAGTCGGACTCGACTGTGCGACTGAACAACAAAAATCACCTTTCTTTGAGTGCATTCTCTTCCACCTGCATAACCCACTGTCTGCATTATGGTATGTCACGTCTTAGATAGGTCTCTTCTGTTTGTTTGCATTATTTTCCAGTCTGTAATTCTAATCCCAATCAGTGTTCCCTCTAAACTGAGTTAGTGTGAGCTAGCTCACAGTTTCTTAGCCTCCCGCTCACACATTTTTTGTCTCCGCTCAGGAAGGAGGGCTCCAGAGCAAACTAATTTATGCAGTAGCCGAATCGCTCACTCACAACTTCAAGGCCAGGAGCTCACAAAGTAGAATTTTTGCTCACCAGACTCCACAATTTAGGGGGAGCATTGGTCCTAATGCATGATTGAATTTTTTTTGAAATTTTGTAATTCACCTGGAGTCTCAGCAAAAAAAAAAGGGGGACCATAAATGAAGTCAATAAAACATAAATTAAATGAATAAACAGAGAGGATGCCACGACACCAGCTTCACCACGTAGCCAGATCGTATAGAGTTCGCCAAGCTGCTGGTTTTACCTAACAAGCGGTTCAACGACCACAGAGCTGCAGCTGTTTAGAAGTAACCCCCAATGTTAGTGGCTGGAGGATATGCATCGTTAATGGAGGGCGGTACTTACAGAGACAGACCCCAGCCAGAAGTCGCAGTCCAGTTTCGGGGGGGAAGCAGGTGGGGAAGAGTGGCTGCAGGACGTAGTTTGAGAAGGTGAGAGCAATAACAGCCTGATTGGTGGGGTAGATCACCAGCACAGCAATCCATAGCCGCAGGAATCTTGTGTGAGAAATGCCAGTATAAAAAGAGGTGCACAGCCCATCCCCCCCCTTGACCTCGCCCCTTCTCGCTCCTGCTTGCCCCCAGTTCCCTGTCCTCCCCTTGCTCAGCTAGTTTAATAATCCCTCATGTCCGGCCCCTTCTGTCAGCCTTCCCCACTTACCCGGCCAGTCCCCCAAAGATGTCCTTGACGTAGGCGTAGTCGCCTCCAGATTTGGGGATGGTGACTCCTAGTTCTGCATAGCAGAGGGCTCCCACAGCTGTGATGAGGCCTGTGACGATCCATACTATTAGGGCCAGCCCTACTGAGCCGGCGTTTTCTAACACACCTTTTGGCGAAACAAAAATCCCCGATCCAATGATGTTACCTGGAGAACGAACAAAAAGGGACAGAGGGGTTAGACACGGATGGTTAGATGAGAGAGAAAATGGTGGCATCTCCTGGGATTTGCGCAGTCCAAGACATTGCAGAGGTCAATCAGTGGCTATTGGCCACAAGGTATAGATAGGGACTCTGGGGCAAGTGATGCTCTGTCATCTTGGTGCTTGGGGGGGTCAATAGTGGGATGGCTTCTAATGTCCTGGCTCCACTGGTGGACCTTCTGATGGCACTGGTATTTCTGGCCACTGTGTGATACAGAGTGTTGGACTGGATGGGCCTTTGGCCTGATCCAACATTGGCATCTCTTATGTTCCTATGTTCTTATTGGCCTGGAGAAGGAGCATTATCACCATCATCCCAGCATCTAAGGGGAAAGGTTAATTTTAGGATGACCTTTACTTTAAAGGTCAGCTTCCTCACATGCCGCCAGTAGAAGAACCCACTCGCTTTTAGCTCCAAATCGAATCCTGTACGTCACGTTAGTACAGGGGTCCCCAACGTTTTTGATCCTGCAGGCACCTTTGGAATTCTGACATAGGGTGGTGGAGACAGCAACAAAATGGCTGCCGCAGGAGGCGGAGCCAGCCACAAGATGGCTGCTGCTGGAGACGGAGCCAACCACAAAAAGTCAGGGAACAAGGTTATGTATCGTTCTAACAGTAACTCTTAAACATTTCAGGCATAAACTATAACAGGGCACTTTTTCATCTGCACAGTCAATCAGATCTCCAGTGCCCAATGAGAAGCCTTGTTGGACAAAAGACCCACCTGGCCTGCCCACTTCTTAAAAGTATTTGGAGGGCACCATGAAAGGTGTTGATGGGCACCATGTTGGGGACTTCTACGTTAGTAAAAAGGAAGACCAGAAATGTCCATGTTTATCAACTTTTCAGAATCGATTTTATTTCATAAGAACATAAGAGACGCCAATGTTGGATCAGGCCAAAGGCCCATCCAGTCCAACACTCTGTGTCACACAGTGGCCAAAAATACCAGGTGCCATCAGGAGGTCCACCAGTGGGGCCAGGACATCAGAAGCCCTCCCACTTTTGGCCCCTCCAAGCCCAAGAAGACAGAGCATCACTTGCCCCAGAGCCCCTATCTATACCTTGTGGCTAATAGCCACTGGTGGACCTCTGCTCCACATAACTTAACTTACTCTTTTGTTTAAATGGTCCATATATTGGTTTCTTGAAACAAAGGTGGCTGATATAACTAAGCCCTCACTAGGCCACAGTCCTCAACACACTTGTGGAGAGTTTGAGGGCCAAACTAGATGTGTTTTATTTTTAAAGAGCTAGGTCCATGCTTCTCAGACACAACGCAGATTCTGCACAACCCCACAGCAGCTGTGGGCAATTGCTTTTTTTTTTTTTTTTAAATCAAGGAGAGCTCATGTGGGCTTGGAATGCCACGACTGGGAAGAAAGGGCTCCTATCTCTCCCTCAGGCTGTTTTCCCATGCTGAAACAGCACTGGGGCGGGGAGTTCTCTTCCCATTTCTGCTCCTCCACATGCACAGAATAGTCCATGTGGAGCAGAAATAATGGGGAAATTATTTCCCCCGCTGCTATTTTGGTGTGGGAAAATGGCTCAGGGGGGAGTCTGAAGTTGTTCCTCCCCCAACAATGATGTTCCACGCCCAAATGGTCTGTCCTCTAGTTTTTAAAATGCATTCCCCACAGCTGCTGTGTGGTTGCAAGGAACCTGAACTGTGTCTGGGAAACTTGGACCCAGTTCTTTAGTGAAAAAAACACATCTAACGGGAGGAAAAACACATTTAGTGGGGGGAAAAACATTGAGTTCCACTGAAACCAAGGTGAATGATCTATGCGACAGTTTTATATGACTGTAACTGTAATCCTGTAACTATGCATGCTTAGGAGGAGTCCCAATGAACTCTGCAAGTCTTATTTCTGAGCCCAGGATGAGGTTGTAAATAAATTAGGCTTTTTCAATGGATTACGGTGGTGTGCCAAACAAATCCTATGAGTACTTTACCATCGCTAGCTCACGACTCACCACGTCCCGGTTCAATCCAGTTTTTCACATGGTGAGTCAGTCTCTACGTGTGACCAATTCAAGGCTTTTGTTCAGATAGAATCAGCTTGTGCTGATTGTGACATTGAAAGCACCAAATTCTCAGGAAATGTTAGTATGTTTGGGGTATAATAGTCTCTCTTTTTTAATTGCTTTCATTGTAGCTGCGTGGCAAATGCGGGTGTGTCTCCGTGTCCGTAGGGGCTGAGGCTGGAGGCTTCAGTTTGGCTGTCTGTAACTTTTGAACAATCTGTTAGCAGTTTGCAGGGGCATTTTCACATAGGAACTCAGTAGCCTGTCTCCATTTAGGGGAGGGACCATGGCCCAGGGATATAGAGCATCTGCTTGGCATGCACAAGCTCCCGGGCTCAGTTCCCAGCATATCCAATAAGAATCAAGTTATAAGCGATATGAAGGACCCCAGCCTGAGAGCCACGGCCAGTAAGAGTGGACAGTACTGACTTTGATGGACCAATGGCCTGATTCGTATGTAAAAGGCAGCTTCATGTGTTCATTCAATATACTGAAGGGGTCTGGACATACTCTGAATTTACGTAGGCCAGATTATGAGGAGGAGGAGATTGGATTTATACGCCGCCCTTCACTCGGAGTCTCAGAGCAGCTCACAGACTCCTTTCCCTTCCCCTCCCCACAAGAGACACCCTGTGAGATAGGTGGGGCTGAGAGAGCTCTTTCCAGAACTGTCCTTGAGAGAACAGCTCTGACAGAACTATGGCTTACCCAAGGTCATCCAGCAGCTGCAAGTGGAGGAGTGGGGAATCAAACCCGGTTCTTCCAGATTAGAGTCCACACACTTAACCACTACACTAAACCCTTAACCAAAATGACTGAGTATTGCAGGTAAACTGGCTTAACCACTACACCAAAATGACTGAGTACTGCAGGCACGGCCTTAAGGACAAAGTATGTCAGTTAGCGTGCTTAAAACCCCATTTATTGCCCTTGAATGTTGTAAAGTGTCCAAAAGCCAACTGCTTCCATGCCCGCACAAAACTTGCAGAGGATGTTCTTCTGTGAGTTCTGGGACGCTCCACGCTCATTGGTGGGAATCTGTGCCGCACACTTGCCTTGGTGAAAAAGCACTTTTGCGTATAAATATCCACATTTCTCACAGGAGTATTTGCCTAGTCAAGCCATCTGCTTCCTCTCACATATATCTTCTTCTTATTTATATATCTGTCCCTGCTCGTTGCATCTGTAGCTCAGCTCCTCACTGCCCAGTGTTTTATCCCTGCCGATACATTCTGTGTTTCTGCCCCGCTGGCACAATTTTTCATTAAGAAAATTAAAACTTTGCAGCTACAAACTGGAGCCAAGAATCTGGGGGGAAATAGAGCTCAAAGCATCAGCTGCAGGGTGGGGTTGTATTGCAACAGGACACTGATGAGATAGGGCCCGGGACTTATGTACAAGAGCTGGAGAAACTGGGATGGAGGGAACGGGGCTGCTTAGAAAGAAGGCGAAGGAAAGGCTGGGGCAGATTGAAAGTATGGGAAGAGAAGCTAGGTCCATGTGGCGATCTAAGATGGGCCTTACTTGTGCCCCAGAACTCCTGTCGAGAAGGCAGAGTAAAGAACATGGGGAATGAAGGGGGATAGATCTAGAGTCATCCTAGCTAGGCAAAGACAGGGAGAAGACTTGGAAGAGTGCAGTAAGAGACAATAGCATGAGAGAGAAAGGCAATTGCAGGAAAGCTCAAGAATGGAGTTCAATTAGATCTGAATTATGGGGCATTAGGTAAAGGTAAAGGTTTCCCTTGCTTGAAAGCCAGTCGAATCCGACTCGAGGGGTGCGGTGCTCATCTCCGTTTCCAAGCCGAAGAGCCAGTGCTGTCCGAAGACGTTTCCGTGGTCATGTGGCCGGCATGACTAAACACCGAGGCGCACGGAACGCTGTTACCTTCCCACCAAAGTGGTACCTATTTATCTACTTGCAATGTCTTGCTTTCGAACTGCTAGGTTGGCAGGAGTATGGGGCATTAGTGGGGCTGGAATTGAGCAGGAAGCACGGGGGGGTCTCCACCTGTCATTCCAAGTGCCTCCCTGTGTTTGCTCAGTGGTCTCCTGGCACCTGCTAAAGCAAAGCCATCTGGAGTGCGATTTGATGGAACAAACATGTCCCGGGAGTTGCAGCTCTAGCTGCACTGGAGTGGAAAACAAACTGGGACCAAGGGTCTGGGGACATGTAGAAGTACATTCTGCTGTTCCATGGCTTTGCTGAGGGCCTTCAGTCCTGATGGGCTGGGGCAGCTTTAGAGAAGGATTCCAGGTTTCCTTACACTAAAGTGCAGTTCCTTATGAGGCAGGGGCAACCGGAGGAAGTAACTGCTTGTTCAGCTCTGAGACCAGATTGCATTTGCCCAGGCGCGTATTCCTGTTGTCTGCCACCTGTTGTCTGCCACAGATTTGCAACCCACTCTGGGGAGAAACAGCTGTGCAGGCTGGCATAGCTTGCCTGCTCCTGAAATCCGAGGGTCTCTGGGCCAGGGCAGACCATCGTCTGTGGTGTACAAACCTTCCTTCCCCACTGCTGGGGTGTTGTAATCTCTGTCCTGCAATTTAAGAGCAAAGGATGGAGAATCCCCAAGATAAGAAAACATTTAGAGGAAGACTAATACAGCAACGAGAGCTGAGATTTGGCCAGGAATCTGGTTTTGCACTCAGAAGAAAGCTAAAAAAGCAGGGAGTCAGGAGGAGTTCAGATGGTGGTGTTGGAACAGCTTCAAGGAGGAGAGAACCAGCTCTAATCGGATTGGTGATGCAAGCTGACAGCCCAGAGGTATTTATAGAAAGGGGGGAAAGGCAGAGAAATGCAAAACGAAGGCAGGCTTCAGAAAGGGGACAAATATTATTAAGAGTCGTTTCATCATCCCTTTATCATGAAACGGGAAAGCAATATATTACAAGGTAACAAAGGGTTTCTACTCACGTTTGCCACAGTAATAATGATGGGTACATGAAAAACAGAGGACACCCCAAGACCAAGATAAAATTTTGCTACTCGGGGGGGGGGGCACAGCCCATCTCAGAGAATGCAAGGAGAATACCACCCCAGCAGACCGCACACTCACCCACGATAATGCCACACGCGCTTATCAGCCCAATTTCTTTCTTGAGTGCCACACCACCTTCTTCTGGTTTCTCCGGGCTTGCTGTGTCCTTCTCAGAACCACCTCGACGACGCGCTCCGTCCTCCATGATGCTCTATGTCTCAGGGAGGTGAACTTAGATATGGTTGAACCCAAAAGAACTCTAGACGAGTGATTCTGAATGGCTTTCCGAGAGATGCTGGATTGGTTCTGAGCCTTGCTCTTCCGGTTATGTACTGAATCCTGGGAAACTCTTGGAAACTGTTGGTGTCTGTTTATGTCCCCAGTCTGGCTGCTTCTGGTCCCAGTTCACTCTGGGCCTTTGATTTCAGGTTGTCTGCAACTGTTCTAAGCCAGGCTTGTATTCTTAGAATCAAGGTGCCCAGGCAGTGCTTTCAGACTCCAATACCAAGCTATTTCTATCTCCTTAAACTTGGTTCTAGTACCAGGAAAATGCCGGTTCTGTTTTGGCTCTAACACCAGCCTCGTTAGAACCGAGCTGGGTTTCTCTGTCGCGTTTTGGTGCCAGCTAAAAGCTAGTTTTTCTTTGGTTCTTGTACCAAGCCCACCGGTGCAGTATCAGTCAAGTCTGGACTCTAAAAGCTCAGGGGGCGATGTTGTAAATTTCCTCTCCCTGCTTCGAGAGCTGTTCCTCCGTGCTTGCCCTTTCACGTTGTTTTTTGTCGCTTCCTCTTCTGTAAAGTTTCCCCTGGAGTGGAGGAGAGAATAACAGAGAGCACAGGGAAAATAGAGCAGGGTGATCTTGTTTATTTAGACTCCTGCACCCACGGCCACCGTTTTATCGCCTGGAATCACGGCGGGGGTGTATTCAAACCAGGGTTGGCCTCCTCACTCTGCTCACGGCGGGTTTCTATACAAGCAGTGTCTGCACTCGTCCTCAGATTTTCCCCGGGTCTTCCTCCTGGTTCAGAGTTTGTGCAGGGATCTCCGGGCAGTTCTGTGCCGGCGCTCTCTCATGCCGGCTTGTCTCCTCGCCTTCGGAGCGATGATTTCACCCGTTTCCTACTCCCCTCGGAGCTCCCTTCTCCCTTACCGGGTTCCTCGGCGCCTCGTTCCTTTTTCCATCCGAGCGCACAATCTCTGCTCCTCTCTTCTTATGTTTCCCTGCCTGCCGTTTAGAACCGGCTGCCTCCGGAGCCCCCGGGGCGGGGTTAATCCTTGGACCCGGCTCCAGGAGATAGGGAGCCTCCGGACTCCTCCCCTCTTGCCAAGAGGAGCTAAGCAACCTCCGATAACAGGAGCTGCTGCTGGTACCGTGAAAACACCTCCTGGTCATCTCGGTCCTCTTCCCCCCTCGCTTGGAGACGCTCTCCTCGGAGTTAGAATGCATTTAGAGGGCCACCGTTTTAATGTTGCCGTTGCTCCGGCGACTTTTAACAGCAACCTGGCACCAATGTTCCCTCTAAGGTGTGGAGTCTTGTGAGCAAAAATTCTGCTTTGTGAGCTACTGACATTAAAGTTGTGAGTGAGCAATTTATGACTGCATAAATTAGTTTGCTCTGGAGCCCTCCTTCCTGAGCTTAGATAAAAATCTGTGAGCTGGAGGCTAAAATACTGTGAGCTAGCTCACACTAACTCAGCTTAGAGGGAACACTGCCTGGCACACAGGACAGGCTGTTCGTAGATTGCTTTAGGGGAACGGGGGAAAAAATTGAAAAGAAGGCAAGCCTAATTTAGACTGATTTATCAAATCCCTCAGTCATCGTTGTAAATTGTGTGTGTGTGTTTTCTTGGGGGGGGGGAGCAGTGTTCCCTCTAAGCTGAGTTAGTGTGAGCTAGCTCACAGTTTTTTAGCCTCCGGCTCACACATTTTTGTCTTAGCTCGGGAAGGACGGCTGCAGAGCAAACTATGCAGCAGCCAAATCGCTCGCTCACAACTCTAATGCCGGTAGCTCACAAAGTAGAATTTTTGCTCACAAGACTCCACAGCTTAGAAGGGTACATGGGGGGCAGTGTTCCCTCTAAGCTGAGTTAGTGTGAGCTAGCTCACAGTTTTTTAGCCTCCGGCTCACACATTTTTGTCTTAGCTCGGGAAGGAGGGCTCCAGAGCAGACTAATTTATGCAGCAGCCAAATTGCTCGCTCACAACTTGAATGCCAGTAGCTCACAAAGTAGAAGTTTTGCTCACAAGACTCCACAGCTTAGAGGGATCATTGCATGGGGATATGTTTCAGTGGTCAGGAACCAAACCCACCAGTCAATTCTTTGATGAGTTTCTGGTCTGTCCTGTTGGTCTTAGTGGAAAAAATATTACATAGCTTCGTTTTAGGATTTTGCTTTGGCCCAATGCTATCTGTTTCTATGTCATGCCAAGCATTATGCTTCAGTACAGTCTCCTGTCTTGCGGCAAGTAGTTCCACATGTTAGGTGAGTGCTTTGTCAGATCCCCTCTTTCTTGGTCTTATTCATCTAAAATACATTTTTTTTTCACTCCAGTATAGATTTGTTCCTCCTTCTATACCGCTTTCCACGCCTCGTTTCCCGGCCACATATATTTGTACACTTCAGCTAGTACATCAAGTCCATTCTCCAAATTTTCCTATTCTCCCTAATGCTGCAAGAACAAGATGGCATGCTACAGAATTCCCTCACAAAATGGATACACACGCCTTTTCTCTCAACTCTCCTCCATTGTCATGACTTCTTCTTTCTAAATTCGCCAAATTAAGGACGAATTTCTTTCTGCCGTTCTGTCTTTCTGCCCCGTTCTGTAAAAAAAAAAAGGAAAAAAAGTGATGGAGCCTGCACAGGATATCCACCCTGAGCCTTTAGAGTCGCTCTACAAACTGTAGCAATTGACCTATAACTTAAATAATTCAGCATCGTGCTTTATAAATAACACTGTAACCTTTCGAGACGCCTACTGCTGTTGACCAGACAGATCCTTCGGTTTAGTATGTTGCAGCAAAAATAAACATAAGTTACAGTAAAGTGCTAAGATTTTTATTCCAGTGTGCAAACTCTCCTGGGCTATATAGCTCGTCCTCCTCCACACCATGTGCGCGTGCGGAAGGCCTGGTTTAATCCTGAGCCGTACGCAGCTTTGCACGGGTAGCGCTTGCCCAGTTTAAACGAGACGCCCGTACCCAGCGCAAAACCTCAGGAGTGAGTCAGCCGACGTCACGTTGATCAAGCCTGAGAGACGGGGAGGGAAGCGTATCTGTCAGCGCCGCGTGAAAATGGCAGAAAGGGGTCGGTTTCGCTGCGGCTACGTGGTTGTGGAAGTTACAGCAGCGGCTGCTCCAGCTGACAAAGGGGAAAGGGAGAAGAGATAAGGGAAAGGTGGACGCACAGAAGGAAGAAGAAAGAAAGGCACGCAGACCACAATGACAGGAAGTGATGTGCCCCCCCCCCCGTTCCCTGTGTACTGTTCTTTCTCCTTCCCCCGCACCGTTGCTCCATCCCATCTGTTCACTGTCCCCGTTTCCCCTTGCTCGGCACATTCCCCGGCGTTTCCCCCCCCACCACCACCTCTGCTGATCTCGCACCTTCTCCTGCAACTGGGGGTGAAGTCCAGGCCCTCGGGGAACACCTTGTCTCTTTATCATCACCACCCCGGCAGGAATACTTGAGGACCAAAGGTTGGGATAGGAGAGGAGATAACTGCAGAAGATGAGATGAAAGCGGCGCCCCGGGGGCGGGGGAGGGTCCAGTGACGGCTCAGCAGATCCAGCAGATCCTCTATCTCATCAGACAGTTCGCTGGAGGCGCGGCAGCGGATTGGGGGGGGGGTCGGGAATCCAGGATGACTGAGACCAAAGTGGAAAGGGGAAATTAAGAAAACAACAACACAGCTTGGTTATTTGTTTGTTTAAACATTTATATCCCGCCTTTCCTCCTAGTTCAAAGCGGTGTACTATAATGGTCAAACACATTTTACGTTAAAAACCAAAAACAAATACCATTTTTCTCTCCCCCGCCCCCGGGGAAAAAAATGACTGCTGTTCAAATCTCCTCCAAAGTCCTGGCAAACAGGCAGGCCTTGCAGCACCTTCTGAAGAACTCCAAGAAATGTCCCCCAACCCAACAGGGAGATGGTTCCACAGAGCGGGAGCCATGAAGGAAAAGACCTGGAGATTTAGGGGTTGGATATATTTTAAATTTTTCTGAGACCAGCTGATGTAATTTAAAACAGTAGGGGGCCTCTGGGTTTTGTATAGCTTAGGGCCTCAGCAAGTCTAAATCCGGCCCTGCAGGCAGGCCTTGCAGCACCTTCTGAAGATCTCCAAGAAATGTCCCCCCCAACCCACCAGGGAGACGGTTCCACAGAGCGGGAGCCATGAAGGAAAAGACCTGGAGATTTAGGGGATGGAGCCGGGGGAGGACAGGGACCTCAGTGTGGTACAATGCCATGGAGCCCACCAGTGTTCCCTTCAAGCTGAGTGAGTGTGAGCTAGCTCACGGTTTTTTAGCCTCCGGCTCACACATTTTTGTCTTCGCTCAGAAAGGATGGGGCTCCAGAGCAAACTAATTTGTGCAGTAGTCAAATCGCTCGCTCGAAACTTGAATGCCAGTTGCTCACAAAGTAGAACTTTTGCTCACGAGACTCCACAGCTCAGAGGGAGCATGCAGCCAGATTTCTCCAGGGGAACTGATCTCTGCAGCCTGGAGATAAGCTGTAATTCTGGGGGATCCCCAGGTCCAGGCCAGTAGCCGCCGTGGGTTTATGGGCCTCCCTCCCTAAGCCTTGGCTCCCCCTCCCCCCCATTGCCTCTCAGCCTGTGGGCAGGGAGGATGAGAGTGGCACAAGCCACAGTAGCAGCACAAAAAGCAGTGGGGGCAGCAAGTCTAGGCTGAGAGATGCTTGCCGCCCAGCCCGCCAGCAGCAGGTAAGCCCAAGCAAGGCAAGGAGGCAAGTGGGAACCTCGTCTGGCCCTGGCCCGGCTGTGCTCTTGTGCGCCAGTGTGCCCACAAGCCACACCTTCATGGCCGGCCCAGCCACTGAACACCTCGCCTCTCCCGGCCCTGGGAGGGAGCCAAGGGTGGAGGTCAGGCTGCCCCGGCGCGGCAACACAGGCACTGGGGCTCCTTCGGCAGGGAGGGAACCAGATGCTCCACAGGGAAGGGCTGCCTTATGGGGAGGAGGGGAACTCCCCCCCCGATTTAATTAGCTGGTGGGCCCCCCAAGGCCCCCTAACAAAAAAAATCCCTAGCTACGGGGCTGCCCAGGTCCTACGTGGAGGCTGGCATCCCTAATCCACACAGCTCTGAGGCTGATCTCAAAGAGACCCAAGGAAAAGACCTGGTCAATGCCAGATGGGCCACCCCAGGCCAATAGATGGCTGCCTGATGTGCTCTTAAACGCATGCACTCACCCCAATGGCTGCTGCCTCCTCTCCCCTATCCCCCAAATCCTCCTGGCCACAATTCAACAGGACCGCAAAGTACCTTTTGGGCCATCATGCATCCTGGCCGGTGTTTGTTCTGCCTTTTTCTGGAAGTGTTGCGAAAGGAGGAGTGCCCCCGAACCAGATGAGGCTCTCGCTCCCCCCCCAAGTTTGGGTTCCTCTGCGTTTTCAGCTCACCCCCTTACCGCTCCCCTTTACCTTTTAGTATCTGGAGCTGTCCCCTTTCGCTGCTGTCGTGGGCAGTGACTCCACAGGTGCAGTTTCCCCAACTGCCCCAAAACATGGCCCCTCTCCTTAGCACTTCACTTTCCTGTCAAACACATTCATGTTCTGGCTTTGCTTCGTTAATGAGCTGCGACCATGGAAGCTTGATCCTGTCAGAAAGCACCCCTGCTCTTCGTGTTTTGTAACATTTTGGCTGGCCCTAATAAAAAAAGGTATCACATGTTTTTCTGTATTTAGATTTTGCTTTGGACCAAAGCGGCTGCTTGCAATCTCCCTTGCCTGCCTCTGACTCACCTCATTTTCTCTTAATGCCACCCACAGTCCCCTCACAAACCTTTCAACACCCTCCTATCAACAGCCTTTCATCTTTTGATTTGCTCTGCTTTGTTACCACTGTTCACCAGCAGCACCCCCACACACCCCTCAGGCATTTTCTTTCTCGGAAAATCCACCTGCCCGCCAACCCCATCTGCATTCTACTCCCAGTTTCTTCTAGCAGTTCACAGGGTGTTCCATTAAATGGGTCTACTCTAGCCTGAACCAAGGGCATCAGTGACACTGTGACGTCCTCCTTATTGAGGAGACTGTTTTTCCTTTCAAACACACTATGTTCACGTAAACTTGGTAGATTACTGCTGCCACCAGGATTTAAAAATAACAATTTTCTCTATTATGGTAGAATGACCCTGTGTCTGGGCACTCCAGAGGACTATGCGGCCTTGAGGACGGACTGTTCTGACCGCTGGGATAAGTTTAAACAAATAATGATTCATTTATAAAAGAATAAAAAAGGTTTCTGGATATTTTGAATTGTTGCTGAAGAAAGGAACTTATAAATATAACTGATAAAGCTCGGCGTCACACACTGTCTCTCAAAACATCAAAACTCAACTCTGGCAGCCTTAGCCACTCAAGCTAGACTCTGCCTTTCTTAGCCACACAGGATAGACTCAAACTGCTTCTTCTGCCGTACAGGCTAAAAACTCCAAACTTTCCACACTCATCTCTCGAAAACCCAGAATCTCTTCCGAGACAACCCGACTCCCACATTCTCTGTCATCAGCCAATCACACCACCCTCTATCACTCTCCTTACATTACTGCAGTCAAACTAAACATTTAAAGAAACACACACACCAAAACATGAAATCATTACAGACACCATATCCTTTTTTTCAAAAGAGAGAATAAGGCAAGAGAGGAGACAAATATAAAGTGAGGCGGGCAATGGCAAACCACCTCAGTTAAACTGTTGCCTTGAAAACACTATGGGGTCACCATGCATTTATTTATTTTATTTTTATTTATTTGGATTTATTTATTTGGCTGCAACTTGACGACCCTTTCCACCACCATGTTCCAGGGGTCATTCCGTAGAAAAAGAGGCGCAGGAGCTCATTAGCATAACTCATTAGCATCTGCCATGCCGTAGTATATTCTCTACATACTTACAAGCCTTTCCCCGTTCGTTTACAGGTGTTTACAGGTGTTACTAGAAAACCATCGTTATCCTATTACAAGGCTATCAAGGTCAAAGTGCAACCGCTGTGTGTAAAATCTCTAATAACCTGAAAACACTGTATGCTACAGCGTAGACTGAATGCACATAGGTCAAATTCCTAAGTACGTTTCAGCCGGTTTTTTTGTTTTTAAAAAGGGCCACAAAGGCACTTTCAAAGCACTATTCTTGGTTTTTTTGAAACCTTGGAATCCACCCAGAGGTTTTCCTTCTGTAGACTCTGCGGAATGAACTGAAGCTTGAAGAATGATTATGATAAGACCTCATACTAACATTTCCAGGGGGTATTCCCAGAAAACAAACATGGGGGCAAATCCAGGACCTGAAACAGGTGGTTCCATGTTTTTTAGGCACTCCTGTCTCCCCCCCCCAATGCAGCTGTGCCACCCTATTTTCAGTGACCTTCCAATTTTTCCCAACTCCTGTATTTGAGGTTTCCCATCCAGTTCTTTCCCAGATTCCATTAACAACCTCCTCCTACGGTACCTATGCTCCCTCTAAGTTGTGAAGTCTTGTGAGCAAAAATCCTACTCTGTAAGTTGTGGAGTCTTGTGAGCAAAAATTCTACTTTGTGATCTACTTAAAGTTTTTAATTATGATAAATTTGATTGTTATTATGTATTTTATCTCGTATAAGCCGCCCTGAGCCTGTAAGACGGAGCTCTTCCGCCAGGCTTTCACATAGGGGCCACCACTACCACTGCCACCAATGAGGTGGACAACATCGGGGTAAGGATGGCCCAGGAAGATCTGCCACAATTTCTGTGTGGCCACTGGATTTACCTGGTTGAGCTACAGGATAACATCACCCTGGAGAACCATCTGGAGACCATCTTGTTAAATTGAGTATAATTTTATTAACTGTCATGAATGTTTTATTGCTTTTATCTGTTTTATATGGGCTTTGCCCCTTGTAAGCCGCCCTGAGCCTGCTCTGCGGGGAGTGCGGGGTATAAATCTTAATAAATAAATAAATAAATAAATA